AAAAAAAAAACTAAACCGGGACTGTTGACTAGTCGGATCAAACCAATTGACCATGGGCTTTGAAACGGCCCGTGAATTTATCCAGACCGCTTCAGGCTCAAGTAAAATAAAATTTTTGAACCGTCATAGGTTCAAACGTGAACTGGTTCGACAGTCCTTGTCACTTTTTTTTTTTTTTTTCAAAAATACAAATTTTGTATAGAAAATAAAAAATATATTTTTTTTTTTCCAATTCTAGGTCGAGCCCAGAACTGGAATCGGAACTGTTCAAATCGAGACCGTTGGATCGTTTTAACTGTTGGATTTTTTTTTTAAAAAAAAAAGTCGGAACAGTTGGTTCTGCACAGAATAGGCGGGTCGATTATGAATCGGGAAACGCCGATTAATTGAACCGGCACGTACATATACCTGGGCCGATTCCGTTTTGACCTGAGACAATGAATGTGTTTGCGTGTAATTTGTCGATTGAAACACTACTAACACCGGTAGCATCGAGTCCTTCTAGTAATCACTTTTGATCCATGTTTTAATTATTGAACGGATAACCAATATGTATCTCACATTTCCATGATTTTTTTAGGGATTTTAGTCAACACGTACGATGCTGATATCTCACTCTATAAATATGAAGGCAAAATTAAACTTGCATACTTCATTAACAACCACTCATAGTACTTTATTCAATAATTTGATTATATACATTCTTCTGTAAATCGCTACCTAGCCAGAACAAAGAGAAAACAAGGAAACATAGAAAACAAGCGAACAAAAAATCATCCAAGTTACAGACATCATTCGTGGAGGACGGTGGCTCCACAATAAGAAAAAAAAAAAAAAAAAAAAAAAAAAAAAAAAAAAACAATGGTTTTGAAAACTCGACCGGTCATTGAACCTGTAAAGCTACGAGTTTAATGATTTATTAATCAGACTAATGTTTGGCACACATAAACTGTCGATCCGCTAGAACCGATTCCAGTAAAACCGCTTCAATCGGGTTGGCATCAGGTCAAATGGTTCAGAGAAGGTTTTTTAGCTCAATGGCTTAATATGTCGAACCAGACATGTCTGAAGGCCGGTTAGGCCAGTTCAGTCTGGTTTTCAAAACCATGAAAAAAGCAAAGAATAAACACTCGAAAAAANAAAAAAAAAAAAAAAAAAAAGAGGAAAACCGGGAAACAAAGAAAAAAACAAACGAGGGAGATTACTTTTCATTCACTCAATAATCAAAGATGACACAAAAAGGGTGATGAGAAAAATATTTCACCATGCTAGGTCAATATCTGATGTCAGAAAAAATATTACTATGAGAAATCCCAATTCATTTGTATGGGGTCTAAATCGGGCCGCAAACGAGCCAAGTCAAATCCTCCACCGAGCTCAACAAGCCGAGGTTTATAAGGCTTGGCTCAACTCGACAGATATATAAATGCCTGAGATTGGCTCAAGATCCACTGGTCAACTCAAATTTCGATTGAATTCGGCTCCAATTTTCAATAAAAAGGTATATTCAAATTCGAATTCTGCTCGAGTTAGGACATTTGGATGAATTACACTACTATCAAGTGGCTCGTCAAGCACTCAAACTTATAAAATATCAACTCAAGTTCAAGTTTGAGTTGCTCGAGCTCATCTGAAGCTCAAGTCGAGCATTGACTCGAGGGTTCGGTCTGGGTTGGGACAAGTAATATGAAAATCCCGTCCTGGTTGCATACTTTCGGAACCCGGTGATTCTCAACCCAACTGCTAAAAAAGTTGAACTCAGAGCACGAATTCCCTACCCAAAATACTCGAAATCAACCTAAAAAAGTTCCCATGATTTAGAGCCGAAGTGCATACCTAGAAGCCTCAAACACGAATCTCGAAACCGCTCTAGGGAGCATGTTAACGGGTGTGAAGTTGTGTTGACTCCAAGAGTCATCAAGTCTACACACGGCAGTGGTTATGGTGTTTGCACGTTATCGACAAATCATAAATAATATGGAAATGTACCTAGTCGATTTATCGATTTTATCAACCAAGTATTTCGAGTACAAAAACTCGCTCGTCATTCGTCAAAACAAGATGCGCAGAGCAATGAGGGGCAAGAAAAGCAGTTCATCAGTAACAATTTCGCGTTATGTTTGAATTTTTTTGTCTTGGAAATTTACAGAAAGTATTAAGGCTCTCAGCAAGAAATCTGATTAGTTCACGAACAAGAAAATCCATCACTCAAGGGTCACACAGTTAAATTTGCAGAAATTTGCTTAAATGAACAATCTAGAGCTTAAACCAAATATTTACTTCTGCTGTAAAGAAACAGCAACGAGGAAAGTTCAGTTTGCAGGATTTCAAGCTACAGCATTGGATAAATCATAAGAACTTTCCTCAAGGTTTAAGACAAGAAAAGAAAATACAAATGTGTGCAGTTCACTTTGTAGTAACAAATGATTTTGTTATACTTGCAAAAGTACACCCTCCAGATGTGGGTATATCAGAAAGAAATAACAAATCTCGTGGCAATGTCTGTGATTTTAAATGGTAAGGTGGTTTTATTATCATCGGACAAAACCTCAAATGCAGATATATCATATGCACGGGACCAGATTCTTAACACTCACATGCATGGGTTCATATGAAACCAATTCAAAGAACAGAGCGTAAGCTGGACTCCTAATTTATAGATCTCAACTAACAGCCAAGATTCGAACTCTAACATCCAAGTTCGTGCAAGAGTTTCAGTCACAGCACACCAAAGGCCACAGAATTACAACACAAACAACAAAATCCTTCAAATGCTACATCATTATATGATAAAAGTACAACACAAACAAAAAATAACGTGTTCTTACTTGCTCTCCACTACCTTCTTCCAGTTTTGGTCCCTTGAAATAAATCCCCAATCCGAGCCTTAATATCGTCCACACTATACCTTATGTACCTATCTGCATTCTTCCCAATATCTGGTAAACCCTGCATTCTTGTAATGAAATTACGATAAGCCGGGCACAAAGACTCTAAAATTGAAATCCTCATTTCATCCCTTAACTGATCATCAAATATCACCCACAAAGACTGAGTCTTGCATATTTCATCGAAGTATGAATAAAATAGCTTCAGTTTTTCCCTCATGCTCTTCCCACTTGGCGACATCGGCTTATTATCGAGTTTCAACACGCCCAAAACCTTATTCCATGAGCTCCTTTGATAATTCAAATGATACTGCCTCACTTTCGCCGTGTGTTTCCTAATCCAATCCTCACCTAAGAGCGTGCCTAGCTCATTGTCTTTCACCTTCTGCACTATGTACCGGCCGTTATTCATCAAAAACACGGCACACAATGCAGAATCCTTATAAACCTTCGACTTGGCCTCTAAATTACTCTCCAACAACTCCATAATCCATGCCATTTGAACAGATAACGGGGATGATGAGGAAAACAAGGCCCGATCATCCCCTTTCCTATAATCCACATTGCTCGGGACAACACTCTCTTCAAAAACCTGTTCCAAAGTCAGCCGAGCCCGGCATGCCGCACGTAGATAATTCATAACATATCGAGTTATTGGATGCAATCGGCCACCAGGCACAGCATCTTTAGCTGGGTCCCTACGAATCAAATTCTCCAACTCCATGAAAATCCCCCTAATAGCTTCCCCCAGTCTTTTCCAGATAGCTACGGCCTCATTTCTCAAAGACACGCAGTACTGGTCTGAAAAGATGAGCTCAAACTCCGGCATCAAATCTCTCACTGTTTCATAGACATCGAGCACCTTGAAGAGACGCTCGGGGGCCCTGCTTCCAATGGCCACGGCATCCGCAAAATTCAAGAGCTGGATGGCGGAGCCCCGGCAGACCTCCATAAAAGAGAGGTCGGCAGCACTGGGTAGCCCAAAGAAGACTCGGTCACACAGCCGCCGCTCGCTCGGGAAGAAGATCCGAAGGGCCACGTTGATTGCCTTGACCCATTTTTCGATCTCATCCTCAAGCTGGGTCCACTGCATCCTGTGCACGTCGTCGATGCTGAGCTTCTGGAGCCCGAGCCTGGAAAAGCTCTCCTCAAGGAAATCCCGCCGGCTGGTGCTGTAGACGTGCGAGCACTCCTTCACGTAGCCGGCGGCCACCATCCGCTTCGCGATCTCGTGGAGGTCGCCGATGGTCCCCGCCGGCAGGGCGTCGATTATGACGTCGTAATCGGTGACAGGATGCGCGACGGGAATGAAATCCTCGCCATCCTCGTCGAAATCGTCCTCCTCGTCCGAGAACGAATCGCGGGTGGCCGACTCGGACCGTGTCAGGTCGAACGACTCGGCCCCGCGCTCGGCGAGCGTCCGGAACTCGTCCTCCAGCCGGAACATGGACTGCTGGAGCAGATCCTCGGCGCGGTCGAGGCAGGACGAGATGCCCTTGTCGTCGGCGAGAGGGGTCCAGTCGCGCACGGCGGAGATCAGGCGATCGACGGCGTCAAGGAAGGCGGAGGAATCGGCGGAGCTGGACCAGATCGGGCGGTCGGCGGCGACGTAGCGGGAGATCTGGCGGTCGAGGGCGGTGAGCACCTGCTCGGCGCCCTCCTCGGAGATCGTCTCGGTGAGCTTCTCACGGAGCCTGCCATCGAAATTAGAGAAGATCTTGAGGATGTCGTCGGTCATGGTATCGGTGTGGCCGAGGGTCTTAGCTATGTGGCGGGCGACGGCTATGAGCTTCTCCTCACCGTTTTCCGCCATTTTTGCAGTGGATTGGAGCTCTGATTTTGGGGGAAAGCAAATTGGTAGTCGCGAGGGTTGTTGATTTGTGCCCTTTTTTTGTAGTTCAATCAATCACACAACAAACAGAGATCTGATGAAGCTGAGGAAGTCAGGAAGATGGAGCGGTGGGGCCCACTAAACGCGGTTTCTGTGAACCAAAATTATTTTTCGGCACAAATTAATAAATATAAAAAAATCAATTAAAAGGGAAAAAAGGATGCAAGAAAAATTGATTTCAGCGCATGTGGTGGACTGATGCTAAAAACGGTCTTTGAAATTGTTTTATAAGGCATTTAGGTGATCTAAAAAAAATTTGTCAAAATAAAAAGACGAAATATTCTAATTAACGTGGAACGGTTACATTTTACATTAATAAAGTGTAAATAATTTTAAATCAACTTATTATATCATAATTACTCGTAATATTAACTAATTATAAATTTACATTAAATAGTATGTGAAAATTAAATACTTATAAAAAATAGTATTGCAGTTTTTTTTTCTCTTTAAAATACTTAGTTTGCAATAAATATTATTTTTTTTGTCTTATTAAGTGATTTTCCTCTAATATTAATTTGTTGGCATGAGTGTCATAACTCATAACTAACTCCCACAAAATCACGTAAATAATTTTCATAAAAATAATAATAATATTTTTCTAACTAATTAATTGTATGGTCCCTCTAAATTACAAAATTACACTGTCCATTAAAATTTATGTCACAATATAAGATTCAAAAGTAAGTTACATATTTTGTATTTATATTGTACACTTGCATATAGTCAAAAAAATTTAAAGTGATACATCAATTATTTAATTTAAAATTTTAAATATTGTATATACATGCATAATATATAAATTTTTATTTGTCATTGTTCATGTGCACAGGAATGGGTACTAGTTGTTCACTTGTTGGTTAGTTTGTAAACAGATAAAATATAAAAGTAAACATTCATGTAAAATAAATAAGTATAATTATAATTGATTGACATTTAATAATATTTGGTGACTGAGTAATAAATTTTATTGAAAAATATATAAATACAATTGATTTATATTATCTTAATTTTGAATTTGATAAAACAAATATTCATGATATCGAGAGCAATTCCTTGAATTTGCAAATGAGAGAGTCATTATTTTAGAATTAGGCTGAGGAGGAAAAAGTAAGAAATAAATAAATAGTTTTAGAAAAAAAAAAAAAAATACCAATCACAATTCTATTTAACAAAATTTATCTCTATATCCCTTACAAAACACTTCTTTAAATTTGTAATAGTCGATATATTGAAAATATAACTAATTATTAAATAATGATTTCAATATATTATTTTTTTATTAATCATGCGTATGGAACCGACTATACGAAGCTCAAAATTTTCAGAATTGTAATTTATATTCAATTATAAGTATGATTAATGTAACTAAAATATAACAAGAGACAAACTCAGAATTGTAATTTTCAAATGTATTGGGGTTTTTCTCACGAGAAGCTCAAGTGACAAACGTTTGTGGAAAGCGATTTGGCTTGGAGCGGACCACAAAGAGTGGAATTTTTTGGTTGGGAGGAAGAAACTACTCACTAATGTCGAACGGTGTATGCGGAAGTTGTCAAGCGACGATAAGTGTGACTTTTGTATAACCAAAGAAGAGACTTTGCTGCATACTTTGAGGAATTGTCCACAATGTGGCAGTAGTCTGGAAAAGTCTGGTACGGAGGGCCGAGTGGACGAGGTTTTGTACTTTGGAGTTGGAGGACTGGTTGATCGATAATCTAACAAACGCTCGGAAACTGAAAATTACAGATTGGGATACAACATTTGACCTAGCAATGTAGCGCATTCAGACTGCACAAAATCGAAAAATTTTTAAAGGAGAGAACCTTAGTGTGGGCGGGGTCTTAAGAGAAGTAGCGAAATGGAGGAGTAATGTGTTGTAGCGGTCATGGGAGAACGAAAGTTGGATGGCTTGGGTGTCGGCCGAGAAATGGTGCAAGTGCGATGGTCACCCCCGTCTGAAGGTTGGATTAAAACAAATTCTGATGGCTCTTTTAACCCGATGTCGGTATGGCTAGCGCGGGAGGGGTTTTACGCGATCATTGTGGTCGGTGGAATGAGGGTTTCATTACGAGCATTGGGTTTTGTTTGATTACGGGGACATAACTTTGAGGACTTTTTCAAGGTCTCCAGCTAGCATGGAACTCGGGTTATCATTTCGTTATTGCGGAGGTTGATAGTCGATGTATTCTCTCGGTGCTACAAATTGAGAATGTGGAGCCGAGAATCCATAGTGCATTAGTCAAGGCCATTAGAGAGCTGTTGAGGAGGCAATGGTCGATGAAGGTTTTACATGGCTATAGGGAGTTCAACTTTGTTGCGGATTGCATGGCGAGAATTGCGGCGCGGAGTCCATGAGGGTTTCAACCGTTAAATATTCCACCGAATGAGGCGTTTGACCTCTCTCTCTCTCTCTTTGTACCAATATATATATATAACAAGAGATACATACCAAATATTTGTTGAACTCGGAATTATTATGTTTGTTTACAAAAATAAAACTAAAAATAAAAAGCAGTTTTAACTCAATAGTTAATTCAACTTTACTATAGTTAATATTATTAATTAAATAATATGGATCAACAATAATTTTTACACGTTAGGTCTGTAAGAACATTGGTTTGATATCATGTCCGACAAACCTAAGTGTTTTCTAGAAGATTTCTTGTTAAGCAAGCAAAATAAATTAAATGGAAGTTTTTCTATTTACCTACTTATGATTTAATTAAGTTCCTAATATTTATTATTAATAATATATGGTATATATTTATTGTAGTATGTATTATGGAATCCTAATCCTTTAGGAGAATGATTACATAATAAATATCCTATATATTTACTTACCATGTATGCCACATGCCATAATTAGTTCTCTTTTGCTTGTAGGACAAGGAATAGGTGGCAAGGACTATGAAATGATGAGTTTTCTATACAAGAAGAGTTCTGGACGTTCATGAGAAAATCTAAGGAGGATTTGGAAAGATTCACCACAAGATCTTTGAAGATTTGGAAGATCGGCTATTTTTGGAAAGTCATGTTCTTACCGGATTCTGGAAGGCAAGATTTCTATTGGAAGTTGAATTCTGAAGATCTCCAAATCACATGCACGAATTCCACATCAAGGAAACTTACCTTACATGAAAGATTTTGTCCAAATCAGAAAGCAATCAATTGAGAAGGAAATTGACTCCTAAAAGGAAATGAATAACTTGGAGAAGACTCCACCCTAAGGAGTTGTATATATACCCTGCTTGAAGATCGAAGATATGCTGCTGAAACAATTATATTTCATTCAATATTCGAGCTTCAAGCCTTTTTAGTTTTATTTTGTTCACAGTTCAGTTCAAGGGTTCTTACGTATCCAAGAACTGAAGCTGTTTAGTTTGTTTTTTACACTTTTGTGATCAGTACTTAGGGATTAAGTACAGTGGTTAGCTCGAGAGATTCGAGAGATAGAAGTGAGAGATTCGAGAGATAGAAGTCCACGGGACGTGGCCGGAGAAGTAATTGATAGGATCATGTGTAGTTGTGGCTAGACTAGAAGGGAGTTCGAGTCGTGTAAGTCCAAACTATACAAGTGTGAACGGTTTATCAATGAAAGAGCTCTGAGGGGAAGTGTGACGCTTCTCTGAAGAGTTTTTACATCTTCGGTTTATTGCTTCCGCTATTTACGTTGTTTATTCACGTTCTTACATTGTTTTGCGCACTCGAGTTAAAAATATACGTTTCAAGGTCAACTTTAATTCGCTATTCATCCACTCACATAATTTTAACTACCTATCGCATCCAGTCATTTATCTCCAATTTTTACATCAAATAAATTTTAGTCATTTTATTTTAATATTATTTAAATATAAACTTTAAATTTCACAAAAAAAAAAATAAACTGATCTTCTTTTTTAAAAAAAAAAAAAAATAACTTGATTAACAAAGAAAATAATCAAATGCTAATCTATTAATATATAATAAGGATTAACTTAATTCAATTTTAGAAACTATTTCTCGCCAAATTCATTAATTATAGCTTAAAAATAGTAAATTAACATAATTTCCTAAAATTGCTCTTAATTATTTCCGATTAACATTAATTTTTTTATGGAATAAATTTTTTTATGGAATAAATCATTTACGCCATTATTTCTGATTTTTATTTATGGAACAAATCATTTTGTGGTTCCATTAACAAAACAACGAGCATTAATTGCACATAATTTCCTAAAATTGTTCTTATTTATTTCAAATTAACATTAATTGTTTATGGAATAAATCATTTTTTCACGCCAAGATTTCCGATTTTTTGTGGCTCTATTAACAAAACAGCAAGCATTAATTGCAGATACTATGGAATAAATCTCCTCTTTTTAATTCTTCATATAAATCTCCTCTTTCAAGGCTCCATATAAATCATTTATATGATAAATCTCAACAATATCTTTCCATTTAAATAATTTTCATCAACCACTCTTTTCGGTACCAACGTGCTAAACAACAATTTGTATAAAAGGATATTCACTACCACGATTATTTCTTCACTTCATTCACAGCGTTCAGAGAAAAAAAAATTATATAGATAAATTTTAGAATACATCGATAATATAATGTCACCGGTCTGGGATACACTCGATTCCTTGAGTAGGACAAACAAATCTTATTTGCGATTGAAAGCTGTCCGAATAATTGAAACGCATCACGAACGGGAGAGCTGGAACGCATTCCATATACTGTTTCATGATGAACATGTAAACATTTTCATTAGTAATATCAAAATTATTTCTAATATATTTATTGTTTTATTAACTTTATTATGTTTTAGTTTCATTCCATGTCGTTGAATTATGAATTTTAGTGTTATTATATTTGTTGTCGTGATATTACGTCTCTCATTCGTTTGGATTAAGTAATATTTACACGCTTGAATTATT